GGAAGCATTGTCATTTTCTTTTTGGAAAATACTTGCCTCCTTCCTTGGAAATAGGAACTCCTACGTTCCTGATAATCAAAATTTGAAATGTGTGATGAGATTCTTCTTTTTGTGTTTTTGATTAATTATTTTTGCATATATGTCAAAATTTGATTTACAATTAGTAGGAATGCTTCCCTCCAAGTAATGAGGGAAGCAATGTCCTTTATTTTTTTATCATATTCTTTACTTTATTTGAAAGATTTTGAAAAGTAGGATAGCGATCCATTAAATGTAATTATTAAACCAATTGAGTTATATAAAATTGTCACTAACGAAGTAATTAACAACTCTAACGACAAATTGAGGAAATTATCATAATAATCTAATGTTTGATTTGTATAGTAAATGGCGGGAAAACCTTAGTGCCCAAAAAACAAAACAATAACACTTTTGAACTGTAACGCTTTTATCTGCTTTTTAACTTTATCATTGCAATAAAAAATTGAATGAAATTGACACATGGCATGGTCCAAATTTTGGTCCCAATAATCCGCTGAAAAGGCAAAGGGGTCCCACCACCAAGCACATGGCGTCCCACACGCCATTCCTGAAGCAAGATGGATTGGGTACAGCTGTGAAGTGACCAAATCAGAAGGGCCAGTGCCAGCCTTGTAGCTGAACGTGCATCGTGCTTCATGTACCCCACCTCCACGTACGCACCCACGTGCTCCCCTTCTAGTATTTAGATAACTTATAAAATGTAAGTTACATCACCCATACACTAGGATGATATATTTAATTCATTTTATTTATTTATTGTTTTGGGTTGATAAGCTTTAGTATTTGTCTTGACACACGTGCGTCGTAAACGTGTGTCAAGAGACTAGTTTTAATTACGTATTTTGGATAAATTTAAGTTTATTTATTTATTTTATTGTTTTGGGTTGATAAGCTTTAGTATTTGTCTCTAACAATCGAGAGGTCAATTACTGGGCCCCACCACTATTTCTTTCTTCTGTCAATTCACTCACACCGGTTTTACGTAAATAGTTAATTTTGGAGCCGGACTATCGGCGGTGGCTGTAGTTTAGTGGTGAGAATTTCACGTTGTGGCCGTGAAGACCTGGGCTCGAATCCCAGCAGCCACATTGTTCGTTTATTTTTTGTTTTTTGTTTTATTTATTTCACGCTGTTTTCTTCATCGTCATCGAGTATTCAATTTGTACCAAGTACAATTGATTGTCATTCAAAAAACATGTCTTCATGTCGGTTTACATGAGTGGATGTGGAACCTTATGCATCATGATTGTTGTCGAAGACAAAAGCTTGACCAAACCACCACAAAATAATGACTACTCATATTATACAAGTGGACAAGGGACCATTGTTTTGGCTCAATGTTTTCAATTTATAGAGATTGTGAGAATTCATGAATCCGAGGAATCTTGAATTTGTGAATAGCACGTGAGCAGTTTTATATTAAGGGGAATGCTAACAACTTATCTCTAACATTTTCCTTTGGACATTCTTCATTTTTTGCTTGACATGTGTCATTCTCCTTACACTTAAAACAACGTGATTAATATATTATATATGCTAACTTTTGCTTTCCAAGTTTACTTTTATTAAATATATTCAATTTATTAAAAAAAAGTTCACAACTTTCTTACCATCTTATTAAAACAATATCATTAATAAAATTCATACGCCTTGTCATCTGAATGGAATTTCATTTCACTAAAGTCTATGTCTTCATTAATAAAGCTTGCACTCTTAAACATATTAGTGTTATCTTGACTCAGACCATCAACATCTTCTTTGGGCAAATTCAAGTCAATCTCGACTCCCATGGACACCTAACAATATAGGCTTGAGATAAAATATATAGAAGCAAAAGAATAAAAAATCACCAAAATTGAATTCAATATGAAACATAAATATATGATAGTTTAGATTAACAAAAGATAAGCGAAAGAAATAACCATCAACCTAAGAAAACACTTCCAAAAGATATAAATTTTCAGCAAAATAATACATCAGAAATGAAAAAACCATACCTTTGACCAAGACTTGGAGCGAGAGAAGCTGAAGAAGACGCTTTAGCTTTTGTGGTTGAGCCTGAGAGTTAAAAAGGCAGGAGCATAGATAAAGCAAAGATAAGACAATTTAGCTTCAACTAAGGGCAAATATGGAAATATAATTATAGGTTTTTCTGTAATTAATAGCACTGTTTTATGTGTAAGGGGGGGTGACACATGTGAAGCAAACTAGGAAGAAAGTCCAAAGGAGAATATTAGAGAGAAAGTTGCTAGCACTTTTCTTATATTAATCAGCCAATATCGACGAGTTAATCACTTCCATCAATGTTTGGACCATCATCCATTATCCATATATAATTCCATTCTATTTGGGATGTAATTATTTTTTATTTTTATAAGTTGCATTAGATATTGAGAAAATCATAATCAACGGATACGTGTAACTAACGAAACAAAAAGACATTGATTGTTTCATTCTTGTAAATCATAATTTGACGAATATACAAAAACAATTCATAAAAATATAGAAGGGAAAATACATAGGAACATGTCAAATTGAGATTAGTAAGAAACTATCAGTTTTTACTTCGAGTACGAAACAAAATACATTTCTTGATTATAACCAGGATAAACAACGTGACTCAAAGTAGAGTTGAAAAAACGAAGATGGATTTCATTTCGTATGTCAATGTTCCATCTATGAACAACACTCATCTTCATCTTTTAGGTTTTGAGAGAATTTGATGTGGCTACTTTTATTTATGTATTTATCAACATTGGATGTGGCTATTTGGTAAGGTCCACATTGAATAATAGACAAAAATAAACAGAAAAAACAGTAATTTAAAAGAAAAATCCAGAGGTAATATTCGAGGGTATATCCCAAACGCCAAAACCATGGTTGAGTTGAGAATGGGGTTGTCCTTTTTAAGGAGACGTTTGATTGGTTGAAAGGATGACCCTAAGAACCACTCTACGGTTCATTTACTTCTTATCAAAATATCAACGTCATTTTAGTTAAATTCCTACTTGAATTCGTCTCAAATTTTGCCTCTACCTCTTAATATTGTGTATAAATTTCGAACCTTCCTAAAGACACATAGAAACTCTTTAATGGGACAACATATGCAATGCAATCCGCGGCCAAAACTAATGAGATAATGTGTGTAGTATCTTAGGTGATTAAAACACTTATTATAACGAAACGTACTGAACAATTTTCCTTGATGATTGAAAGCTGTTAGTCAAATAAGCTCGCTAACCCATTATTTACTCAACAAATAAACTATAATATGTATGGAGATATGCACTCCTTGTTTTCATAAATCAAGTTGATCTTATATCTTATGCTTCATTCAATAACATGCATTCAAGATTCGGAATTGTGCAAACAAAACATGCACAAACTATCACACTGAAATCTATATACATGTAGAGTAAAAGACAAAGAACGGTGAAACATTCAAAATACCAGAAAATGTCATTGGTTAATTTAAACAGTAAGAATTAAAATTATTAATTAAATGAGGATAATATTGTAAATTCACATTTTTTCATATTAAAAAAAATAAAAAAATCAGATAATATGTCATACTTTTATGGAACATAACTACCCATATTATCTTTTTTTAAATTCTAAAAATAAAGGAAAAAAGAAAAAAGAAAAAAGAAAACCAATTGGCACATGTGTGAGTGTGTGCCAATTTCCTATAAATTTTGTGGGTACCAGTTTGAGGTCACATGAATTTTGAAAACATGAAGAACAATTTGGTTGTAATTGATGATATCTCTTCATTTCACAAAAATAGAAATACTTTTTTTTAAAGGAAATAAAAAAGATTGGCATTATGTGGCCACTATTTTGACTTTGATGCTACCACAAAAAGTAACATTAAAAAATGGAAATGGCTCCTATCCTTTGTCCATTAAAGTATTGATGTGATCTTACCTATTAGGGCATTTAGTGCAAATTTACTTGTATAAATTCATGTTGGAATGGAAATTTAACAAACCATTTATTAGGTTTGGAACGGCATAAGCGGAAATTTTATAATTTTCCTTATCATCAAATTTCATAGAGGGAAAAAAAATATTGGGGAGGGGGTTGGTGCGGCCAGAGCTACTAATGGCCTAGGCCGCCTTCCGCCTCTGCATTCAGTTAATAATGGAATGGCATAAGTGAAAATTTTATCATTTTCCTTATCATCTAAGTTAATAAGAACATGTATTTACATTTATTATATCGAGTAGAGATATTTATTGGATTAAAAAAGAAAATTGCATTTTAGGCAACATGCCAAAGGCATCCTTGGAATATAACCAACACACAACCGTTACTCCTTATATAATAGTCTTTCACGTTAACTTATTTGGAACGAGAGAAGTCGTCTTACGTTTACTTACTTCGAATACGAGAAGTCATAAATCATGGGAAGTTTATAATTAGAATAATTCTGATACAAGTAAGTATACCCCCAGTTTATAAAATTATTTATTTTTGCAAATAAAGAAAATCACACCAAATTATTTTTACTCATATATTTAAATTGTATATTGTAGCTACAATTTGATCATTCTAGAGACGAACCAGAGATGACAAAACCCAGTGACATCCGCACGTTACGTGTCCACTGTCACTTATCTACACGTGTCACTACCACAATCCTTTATGGGCGCCAATGCTCCGCTGTATCAACAGCAACGATACAGAAACGAGAGATTACGATGAGATACGTCGACGCCTCAACCCAAAAATAAATTTCACTATTTCACAGGCTGTCCACCAATCACGTTCCACTTTCAAATTCCCTTCGAACCGGCAACCGGCTACAGCCGGTTCAAAATCAGTCATCAACTTCAGTATATAACAACAAACACTATCACTATACTGAGCCAAGAGTGAAGTAGTTTGTGAGTGACCATACGCAGCTTAATTTCTGCAGCGAATCTCCACCGTCCGATCTTAATCATCCTCCGACTATGCCGATCCGGAACATTGCCGTTGGCCGACCCGAGGAGACGTACCACCCGGACGCCTTGAGGGCGGGTCTCGCCGAGTTCATCTCCACGCTGATCTTCGTCTTCGCCGGAGAGGGCTCCGGCATGGCCTTCGCCAAGCTCACCCACGGGGCCGCGACCACGCCAGCAGGCCTCATCGCCGCTTCTCTAGCCCACGGATTCGGCCTCTTTGTCGGCGTAGCCGTCAGTGCCAACATCTCCGGCGGACACGTCAACCCCGCCGTCACCTTCGGCGCCTTCGTCGGCGGCAATATCTCCCTCCTCCGCGGCATCCTCTACTGGATCGCCCAGCTGCTCGGGTCCACCGTCGCCTGCGGGCTCCTCAAGTTCGCCACCAACTACCAGGTAATTTTATCAGTTTCTGGCCGTTTTTGAACTATAAGTTTCTCGTTAAGTTCGTTAATATATCATTTCATATTAAAAGTGGGACTAATGCTTCGCAGACTACCTCCGCATTTGCTCTCTCCGAGGGGGTTGGGGTTTGGAACGCGTTCGTTTTCGAGATCGTGATGACGTTTGGGTTGGTGTACACGGTGTACGCCACAGCCATTGACCCGAAGAGAGGCAGCGTGGGAACAATCGCGCCGATCGCGATCGGTTTGGTAGTTGGCGCGAACGTTTTGGCGGGTGGGGCTTTCGATGGAGCATCCATGAACCCGGCCGTTTCATTCGGGCCGGCTTTGGTGAGCTGGAGCTGGCAAAACCACTGGGTGTACTGGGCCGGGCCTTTGATCGGCGGTGGGCTTGCTGGGCTTATTTACGAGTCCGTCTTCATCGGCAACTCTGGCCACGAGCCACTCCCGACCGCTGATTACTAATTAATTAAGCCTTAATTAAGCCCTAATTAAGATTCAATCAAAAGATTTGCATGCATGATGGATCTTCACTTGTTTTTATGAGGGTTTTGTACCTTTTCTTGTGTTTTATTTCATCAAGAAAGATCATGATCGTTCATCATGAGTTCGTTGCCACCGTTGATTTGTATTTGTTTCGCAATTTGCATGCTCCGGTTGTAGGATTAATTTAATTTATCTTTTTTTATTATTATTTAATTTTCTGTAATTTATTTCTTGAAGATGCTCTTCTTCTTACTTCTTTTTACTGGTTTTAATTTGGACCTACGCGGCCACGCGTCATATGATCGAAATAGGGTGGGGTTGGATTAAACAGTAAAATCTAGAATGTGCTTGATTTTGGTAGTTTTTACCTTCCCCTTAAAGTGGAAACTACTGTTCCTGCATGTGATTGATTTGGCCCTGCCGACACCAACCATTCGCCAATAGTAGTAGTAGTGGTTAATCGGGGGAATATACATGCATGAGTTTAGACCAATAAATTACGTATATTATGTCACACCAAATATTTTGACTAATGAGGACATTCTTTTTTATAAACATGAGATTTGAATTTAGAATTTCTTTCCACTGTTTTAGTCGGCAACTAAGTACGTTGCTGATATATATCATTATCACGTCCTGGATAATCTGATTAATTACTTACAATACGATCTAATGATTTGTTTAGAAGATTAATTTCCTCGTCCAAGAAGTTACTAATTAGAAGTAGTTTGGTTTATTTCTTCCAATGTTTTAGTCGGCAACTAAGTACGTTGCTGATACGTATCATTATCACGTGTTGGATAATTTGATTAATTACTTACAATACGATCTAATGATTTGTTTAGAAATTACTAACTAGAAGTAGAAGTACTTAAACCAAACTAGCTAATACAATACTCTGGTGGAGAACTATTTTACATGTGACTACTGGGAGCCTATATGACACATAAATACAAATATTATTATGTAAACTATAGGCAATATTATTATTTATGCATGCGTATTCAATCATGTGGTGTGGATCTTGGAAAAGGGATATTGAAATTGATTGATCTCAACATTTTTTTGGGTGGTTGGGTTTTCATGTGAAGAGCACGAGAGGTGTGTGTTTCACGTTGAAAGACTGCTAGAGGAGACCAGACTACCCATATGAAATGAATGTGATCAACTTAAATATTAGAGGAATGGCATGACCTACTTTCATTTCATAGAGATTCCTCCTCCTCCTCATCATCATCTCGTTCTCATTCATGAAAAAAGAAAAAAAGAAAAAAGAAAATGAAGAGCACATGATAATTTTTGTGGACCATATTTTTATATCTTGTCCTTTTTAATCTGCATCTTTTGGCCACCTTTGTGGCCCGGTGCTATCGTTTTCAAACCCGAAAGGTGCCCCGCTCTCTCTCTCTCTCTCTCTCTCTCTCGCGTAATTGTTCTGGTTCTCACTGTGCAAACGTTGGCCAAGACGTGGTTTCAAGCTGACCACACAACTTGCAATGCTACCTTTCAATTTCATAGGATCTCCTAAAGAAGATTTGGGGTCCCATGGCTCACCGTCCATTCTGGTTTTCTATTTTCTTATCCCACGGTTTATAAATAGTTTTTACTCTTTCAAATGGTAATGTTGATTTCTTGCCAAACTTTATGTTACCACAAAAATATTTATATGCATATTGACAGATTATGAATCCGAATCACCCACGCAATCAAATAAAAATTAGTATGATCAATATCAAAACTCACGTCACATATTTAAACAAGCACCAACATGATTAATGATCGAGATTGATATTCTCAGGCTGTGTAAACGAGTGAAGAAGAAACTCACTGAAGCACACAATACAATATTAGTGAAACTTTGCAGTGGAGTGATTGATTGACGACACAAAGCTGGTGGAAAGTAATTTTTTTTTTTCTTCTGACCCAAATGAAGCCTTTGGCTCTTAGCCAATTATGTCGAACCAGTTGCAACTGGAGACTGCACCATGGCTTGGCAGCTCACGTCGTTTTGACGTGACCTGTCCCTACCCAGTCTGCTGGAATTATTGACAAAACGTGAGAGAAGTTTGGTAGAGGTTGGGGATGATGATGATAATGAACAAATGTCTGTTTGTGTTGAAATATTGAGGGACTTTATATGATTAAGGAAGCTGTCTGGAGTACTGAGTATAATGGTTTGTGGTATGTGTGGTGCCTGAGTTGTTATGGTGGGAAAATTATCGTGGGCGCAAGAACAATTTTAATTAGTCTAGTGTTCTGTAATTTTTTTTTCTTCTGCCAAAGGTAGTCAGGGGATGGGGGGAAAACTCACAGATACGAGTACTGTAGGGGTAATGGCTGGGTCAATCCAACGCACACCCCATGAGTGATATATATCATAGTTTAACCTATGATATATAAACTATACATGGATTATGAGACTTTCACATTAAAATACATAATTTAATATCCATAAAATCATGAATTAAATTGACTAGGAGAGAATGGTGGAGCCACTCATGGGCTAGTAGTGACCCTGCACCTTGCCCCCGAAAAATATTGCTAGAAAACTCTCATATTTACATTGTCGGCCCCTCTAAACATGTGTACGGATGTGAAATTTGTTAAACTTGTGTAAAAATGAATCCAACTAAAGCTTGTTATTTATATTTTAAAATCTTAGCTCCGGCTATGCACGATCCCTGACTTATTCATTATCCTCTCCGCTTCCCCACTTTATGAGATGACTTCCCATATTCCAAGCAAGTAAACATGCCATAGTCGCCAACCTACGGCTCGAGATTGCGAGGCGAGGTCAAGATTGGAGCCGAAGTCCGAATGTGGGACTAAGGACTCGAGTCCAAAGCTTGGATTATGGGCCCGTGGTCTTAGACCTCTGAGCTCGGACCAGGCCACCAATGATTCTTGTTTGCTCACTCAGAATCTGATGAACGTTGGATGAAAGTGCCACACTGAAAATGGGCTGGGCTCTTCCAATAACTGCAAGAACAGAGGGTGCCTCCAAACTCAGAAAGGCCCAAATGAATTATTGTTGGGTTGGGTTGCTATCACGTGGCCACGCAAGCATAGACTGGATAACGCTCACGTCATTAACCACGTGGATATATACAAATGTCCCGAACCCCAAAGTTAGCCGACACGTCGTCAAACAAAACCGCTGTTTTCTCTAAAAACGTTTTCTAAATTCTAAATACTGTGTGCCCGCCAAACGACAAACAGCATGTTGATTTCGGGACCAGGCGTTTTCCAGATCCGGAGACCCGCGTCAGCAAAGCCCAACAAACCTATCCTATCCGAATCCAATACGACTCTCATTATTTCCATGAACACATAAAAATATCCCAAAAAGGGTAATTTTCACTGCCTAAAATACCCTCCTAATTTTGCCTTGTATAACTAACTCACTCAGTTCTACTCGTAAAATCACACACCTCCTTTCTATTCCCGCCAACCATTTAGACCTACACAACCATTACTCATATAACTAATCTTTTTCGTCTTTGACGTGAATTAAGTCAGTTGGTCAAGATAATATGTCCGTCTCATTACATTTGAGTTCAATTTTCATTTTATTGACAATGAAAAACCTTCTTCACAATTACTGAAATCCCAATCTCATCAACCACCCCGGCACACCCAAGCACCCAAACGACGGCGTATTGGGGTCCCTTGGAAGCCAAATAATCGAAAGATATCAACTTTGTAATCATATGATTAAGACCCCTAATCAGTTGGGTGCAATTATTACATTTATTTAGGATTAGATTAGACCGGCAAACGCTGCTGTGTCGCCTCGTCAGCACTTTTATTATTCCCGCAAAGGAAATATCAATCCAGTTGAATAAAGCATCTCATTTTCTCAGGGGGCTTTCGTCAGTTTTGTTGCTTACTTGAAACTTGAAAGCATTGCATAGGTAGGCCTTTGTCCTTTGGCCTTCCTCTCTCTCTCTCTCTCTCTCTCTCTCTCCTTTTATCTTCGCCATTTTCATAATTTTCTTCAAGCTTCAGTCTTATTCTTCTGGGTATCATAGTAGTTAAGTAGCATTTGAGAATGGAGAGCGGATCCGAGACCCAGATGGATTTGAACAAGAACACTTCTCATCAGAATGATCACTCTATCATGGAGATGGGATCTGGGAATTTCGGGTATTCATGTATAAATTTGTTTTTGTTCAAAAAGAATTGATTTTTTAGAGCTGAAGTTTTGATTTTTGTTGTTTCTGGTAAATGAATTTAAAGGTGCGCCCATTATAGACGGAGGTGCAAGATCAGAGCACCTTGCTGTGATGAGATATTCGATTGCAGGCATTGCCATAACGAATCCAAGGTCAGTTTTTTTTTGTTGGAATGGTTTTTGTTTTAACTTTGATTAATATTGATAAGCATGTTATAATTTGGGTGTCTTTGTTTTTGGAGCAGAATACATTGGAAGTTGATCCTCTTGATCGCCATGACGTTCCTCGCCATGATGTGAAAAGGGTTAGTTGCGTTTACTGTCTCTGATTTATAGCAGCTTAGTTTTAAAAAAGGAATGGGAAATGGAATTAGAAACTGTGGCCTTTTTATTTTTCAAGTAGATTTGATTTTATCCGGATTTTGCTGGATATGAATTTACTTTTATTTACTTTCCATTTATATCTCCTTGTGCTGTCTGAGCGTTAAAGGGTTCACATCAAAAGATCTGAACTTTATGGATAAGGTTCAGAGCATCTATCTTTTGTTTCTCTATGGGCTGTTGATTACTTGCACATATTATGCCAACTTGAAAAAGTCATTTTCTTTTCTTTCCTTTTATTTTCTCCCCTCTCCCTACCCTTTTCATTTTAAGTTTATGTTGAATAATTAAAAAGTTTCACTTTGTTTGCCTTGTATGGTTCAGGTCATCTGTTCCTTGTGCAATACAGAACAAGATGTAAGCCTTCTTGCAGAAAACTCTGATAATTGTATTATTAATTATAAATTGAAGGATGAGGTTAATGACTTCTCTAGTTCTGATATCCCTTCAGGTTCAACAGCACTGTATCCAATGCGGCGTTTGCATGGGGAACTATTTTTGCCCCAAATGCAAGTTCTTTGATGATGATGTAAGCCTCTGAGTTCTTACCTAATAAAAAAAGGGAGCTTCTTAAGTTCATATCCTCATAAATATGAAACCTGTTTCGAATGCACTTTTTCTTATTCTAAAATTGGTAGGTTTCGAAAAAAACAGTTCCTTTGTGATGAATGTGTTATTAGAAATTCACTTTTTCTTATTCTAAAATTTGTAGGTTTCGAAAAAACAGTACCATTGTGACGAATGCGGTATCTGCAGGTTAGACATTTTTCTGCACGTTTTCGTTGTTCCCTTCAGTTGTTTGTCTTTTCGTTGTTTTTAAATTTTCTTTTAATAAATACGCGTTACATTTCATAATCTTACGTCAGTAAAGCTTCTTCATTGATAAAACATTCGCACGTGTCTAAGTTTGTTTGAATTGGTATTACAGAACTGGAGGCGAGCAGAATTTTTTCCACTGTAACAAATGTGGTAAGATGTTAACCCTGTTTTTTCATTAATTTTTCATTGTTTTAATCATTTTTTATTATTTATAATAGTCTAAATTGGAATATCTCTATCTGTGTTTTAGAATGTTGTTACTCAAAAGTGTTGAAGGATTCACACAATTGTGTGGAGAAAGCAATGCATCATAATTGTCCTGTGTGCTTTGAGGTAAAGTTTGGAGTTTGCTATGCCCAAGTTTTATCCTGTTTGCTGCTTTATGGTGCACCAGCTCACATTGGTTACTTGTGCAGTTTCTTTTCGACACAAGGGCAGACATTACTGTCTTGCTATGTGGACACACTATACATTTGGAATGTGTAAAAGAGATGGAGCGACATTGCCAGTAATTCCTTTTTTCTCTGCTCTCTCTCTCTCTCTCTCTCTCTCTCTCTCTCTATATATATATATATATACACATACATACATATAAAAGGATTATCTGATATAAATCGTTAGTAATAAATGTAATGAAAGGATTATCTGATATAAATCTTTAGTATAAAGTGTAATGAAACAATAGCCCCATAGTAATTGTATACAACTTTGCAGGTATTCATGCCCGGTTTGCTCAAAATCATATCGCGATATGTCCCGTGTGTGGGAAAAACTTGATCAGGAGGTAAATCTATGATTCGATGATTCAATGTAACGATATGAGTCACATGACTGCCTGTCATTTCTAGTTTACTAATCTCTTTCAAATTAAATATCAGATTGCTGCAACTCCCATGCCTCAAATGTATCAAAATAAGATGGTAAGTATACACATACAATTACTATCTTTGATTTCTCCAAATATTGGGTAATTAAATTCCGCATACACTTTTTGTATGGTTAGGTTTGGATCCTCTGCAATGATTGTGGGCAAACATCAGAGGTAAATTTCCACATTGTAGCACACAAGTGCCTGAAATGCAACTCCTACAATACAAGGCAAACACAAGGAGGGCCAGCCTCATGCTCATCAAGGATTACAGATATGGTGAGATGAATGAGTTCAATACATCAAAATTTGTGATGTATTACTTCTTAAATTGTATCACAAAAGGAAGCTTTTAGTTGTGGCAAAGGAGGGAAAATTAGTAGTGCCAGTCCCTTTACTAGTTTCTTTGTAGGTTTAATTGTGCAAAACATTGGCTCATATTTGAGCCAATTTCTATATGCCACGTAGGGTCAGCAGGTTGTTTTTGAAAGTATGGGAAAACATTGTATGAAGCTTCATCAATGGAAAATGTTTCATATAACAAAGATATCATGATATCAATTTGTAATTCAATTGCAAATGGGTTTGCAACTTCAAAAGTACATATAAATTGAATGAAGAGAATGAATTAGAGTGGAGCAAAACTGAAGACAATCGTTGACTCCTGAGATAGACTTGTCCACACAGCTTCTGAAGTTCATATAGAACTTTTCAAGATGGGTTTCTTAATCAACATTGTGCAAGGACTAATTAGTACATTGGAAATGTAAATTTTGTTTTCTTTTCCAATCACGGGGGTCGTTAGTTTTTCAAATTGACAAACGATGAACCGTGAAGCTTGACCTGCCGGCCATTGAGAGGTTGTACTGGTCTTGCATTCATCTCTGCAAACTGCATTCATGTTGATCAACATAAGGAGTTAATATGTGCTCCGGATGCCATCATTTCAAAGTTAAATCAGAAGAACTCACTTCAGAAAGATGGGTAGGTTACTTACATCGAAAACGGCTTGTTGAAGCAACTTCACTTGTGCTATTGAAACAGTATGTACCTGAGGACAGTTTTATTTAGGGCAACTTCACTTGTGATATTAAACCAACATGTGAATTTACAGGAGTCGGAAAAAATTTCCGGGCTGATGAAGTTGGCTGTACCTGTTTGTTTATGGTCCAAGTTACTCCTTCACTGCAAGGAGGGGTTGTGAATGATCCACTGTATCTGTAAAATTTCGAGCTAGCCTTTTTCATCTGCCTCTTTTTCAGGTCCTGAAACCCGATCTTAGCCTTCTTCATCTTCCTCGGATCAATCACTCCCAGATGTACATCCTTCTCTACATCCATCATTGACGCTATCGCCTTTCTGATCTGAAAGTAGAAATAACACCATTGATCTCCTATATCTGTCTTTCCTAATTGAACCAAAACAAGTTTTTACCACAAAAAATTTAATGCTTTTTCTGACCTTTGAGATGAAAGGATTTGGTTGGCCAATTTTGTAGAGGAAGCCAACCACAGCTACATCACTGTTGTTCTTGGCTCTGTGAACCATGTGCAATTCCACATCATACCTTTTGCCATCAATGGAATGCTCTGAGGGGGAGTGCCAATGGCATTGTCTGAGGTTGTATTCTTTGCCATTGATACTGATTGATCCAGCATCACCTTCCCATACAACCTGCATCAAAATTACAACACAAGCAGTCGAAAATCATGCCTTCATTATTGTTCATAAAACAAGTTAAACAAGTTAAACAAGATTTTCACTTCCTTACCGCGATAGCATGACCTTCATTCTTCAGAATGGCTTTTGTAGGCTTATAACTGATTTTAAAATGCTCTAAACTTGAGTTCACTTTGGTGGCAATCCCATCCCTTAAATCTATGGGTGATTGGGCTTTGCCATTCTTGCATGTCATCCATTCTTTCTTAAGGTCTCCCCAGTGTTCTGGTCCTTTCTTGCTCCCTGCCTTAAATTCAAATTCTATTTTACGCCCTGCACCTAAAAACCCAAATTCAGTAAATTATATATGATGAAGAAGAAGAATAAGAAGAAGAAGAAGGTGCAAGTTTCTATATATTTATGCATTTGGCATTACCAGAAACTTCAGCACTAGTTGGTGTTGGGTCCAAGCACAGAAGAAAAAATGTAAAAAAAATTAACCCAAGATGGATTTGCTTTGATCCAGCCATCTTTCACAGCCAATTATTGCAGCTAGGATGCAAATGGCTATACCCAACAGGATGGATGCCTCCTGCTCCTGTTAGGTATTTTATATAGCAATGTTCAATTCCTTGATCAATGTGTATGAGATATCAATCACTTTTATGCACTTCTAATTTGCCTTTGTTGGCATTGCAATCCTTCTACATTTTGGGGTAATTTTACCGTTTTTTCGTGGAAAGTTTGGAAGTTGCATTAACAGAATTTGATCAATTCAATACAGCCAGTCTGGCCACACAATTTTTTTTTAATTTTAATTTTTAAAAAACCCCTTGATTTAGGTGTTCTATCTTTCTATCTATCAAACACTAAAAGTATGGAATATTTTTCTGTCTATATACAAAAGTACTATATATAGAAACAAGAAGTTGGTGCAATCCTACTTATAATTAGCCCTAGATTTATGGGATCCAAATTTTTTTAGAACGTAGAATGAAAATAAATAAAAAAATAAAAAAAGACACCAAAATTTGCCGATAGCTTTGTAATTTTGTTTTGCTTTGACCAAAAACTAACAACGACACTGGCGCAAACAACATGTCTACAACAAAATTAGTTTCGCGAAAAATATTGTTGGCCTCAAGGAACTAATCATGTCAAACACAGAGTGTCCTTAACCAACGAAAATTACTGTGGAGGCAAACGAGCGACTCAAAATAGCATCAAGTGTTGAGTCAGAGATTTTCATGTTTCTTGGTGTCCAAGTTTCTATGGAGTTACTCCTTGAGAATGTAATCTGTCCATGGAATTTATTTTCGGTTCAAAATTGAAGACGTCATAGACATTCTAAAGAACATAAAGAATTTTCCAAGCTGGTATGCTTAACATATATGTGCAAGTACTAATTTATTACAGCAAAGAATGCAAACTTTTTATTTTCATTTCAATCATGGATGTTGCTAGTTTTGCAACACTGGCTGTCTTAACAATGGGCTGTAGAGCATGATGTCTCTGTCGTTGAAAGGCTGTGATGGTCTTGCGTTCATCTTTGCATACTGCGTTCAGGTTAATGAACACAAGTTTAATAGTTGCTCAAAATTGATACTTTAATGTAGTTAGTTCTAACAGAGGAATCACATAACAAAGACAAGGTTACTTACATCATAAACAGCTTGTTTAAGTAACTCCAGTTGTTCTTTCGAAACAGTATTTACCTGAGGGAAAATTATCAAAATGTGAATTTACAAGAGTTCAAGAAATGTTCATGGCAGATGAAGAGGTTTTACCATTTTGTTTACGGTCCAAATAACTCCTTCAGTGCAAGGAGGGGTTGTGAGTGAGCCAATGTATCTGTAAAATTTTAAGCTGCTCCATTTTATCTCACTTGGATCAGTCAGTTCCAGTTGTGTCTCCTTTGTAAAAATCATAGACTCTAAGCCCTTGTGCATCTGAAAATTGGAATATATATAGTTGAAAAAGTAACACCTTTGAGCTCCTATAATTTGTTTTACATATATGTTTTGAGTCTTTTTAATTACCTTTGAGAGAAGAGGATTGGGGCTGCCAATTTTGAATAGAAGTGCAACTACAGCTTTATTGTTCGGGTCCGGACTTTGGTGAAGCATGTGCAGCTCCAAATCATACCTAATAAGTAACTCTTTAGACATTGATCAAACAATTTGGATTTTTAAGACAGAGGGAGCTGAGATAGAGAAAGAGAGAGACCTTATGCCATTAATGGAATGCTCAGAGGGGGTGTGCCAATGGCATTGCTTGAGGAAGTAATCTGTGCCATTGATTTTGACTGATCCAGCATCACCCTCCCACTCCATCTGCATCAATTGAATATAATACAAAGAAATGAAAATTGCAGCACTATGAATGTCTCTTAAAATATGTTTTTGTTTTTGGTGACAAATTAGACATTTCCATACAGCATATGTAGTAAAAATTCATAAGACCTTGAATGCACATTTGAAAAAAACAATAAATTAACTCAATGAGATTTTTAATTTTCCCACCGCGATATAGTGGCCTTCGTTCTTCATGGTTGAATTGCAGGGCTTGTAACTCATTTGAAGATCCTCTAAACTTGGGATCACTTTGGTGGCGCGGTCATCTGATAAATCTATTGGTGATTGTAATTTTCCATACTTGCATGCTGCCCATTCTTTCTTAAGCTCTCCCCAGTGTTCTGGTCCCTTCTCATTCCCATTCCTATAATCAAACTCTATTTCTTGACCTGCACCAAAAACCCAATGGCTGTGATCATGATGAAGCTGGTAAATGAGATGAGTGAGTAAATATATTTGGCATCACCTACAACTTGGGCTCCAATTGGTATTTGGTGCCAGTCGAGAAGAAACAAAGAAAATACAAGGAACTGAAGATGGGCTTGCTTTGTTTCAAACATCAGTCACAGACAACAGCCACTAAAATCATACAAATGTTAAGACAGAGGAGCCTCTGTTCTTTGTTTGAAATTGCTACAATGAAGAATGATAGAATGATGCACTATGAGCCTATGCCTATATACAATTTACCGGATCTAGATGTGGGAAAAAAAAATCATACATCATCCCTCTAGTAATATCTTTGTAATACTAGTCACTTTTATTGCATACTAAAATGGGGTTTGAATGATTTCGAAATTTGATGACGCTCAACAGCTAGGACAAGCATGCATCTGTGGTTTGCATGCAAAAGTACTTTCACTCCCTACGATGGAGAAGTTTATGTGACCTAACACCGCCACGTGGTGTTATTAATCCATGTATTAAACATGTTAGCTTCTCAGTGTCTCGCTGTATTTGTATCCTCGTCTGATTCACTTGCATTTTGAGAAAACCTCTTAACGAGTTGGACTCCCTCTTGGTGGAAACTAGAAAGAATCATCAGTCTCTGCTAACTAAGGTATCTGTTAATAAATGTGGATATGTCCCAATCTTGCCCTTTTATTTTTTGGAAAGTCTTTATCTCTGTTTGGCAGCGGAAAGATTTACCTCAATTCTTTCCTAGGTTCATTTTGAATTTTCTTCTCATTTTAATTTTATAAGTTGGTACATTGTACTTTGTAGTGCCAGTGGATTAGCATTTGGAAAGATAAAATGATTTCAATCCATTTACAACAATTCAATGTTAATGGAAAATTTCATAAAATGTTGACATTCATTCTAAATCTGTTTTTGACTGAAAATTAGCTTTGGGACTTGGCAATGAGAGAGACCTGGAGTTGGAAATAGTTTGTGTTCATGATATGCAGCACGGAAGCACGGGTTTAAGGATCGACAAACGTCTAAACCCGAAAAGATAAACTGAAATCCATCAGCAACTGGAATCCACCAGAAAATAGAGAAATCTCTAAATTTTGATTAATAATATGATAAAATTGATTAGTACAATGCCATGAGTCGGCTTAAATAGAAAACAAAGAAACACTAGGTTACAGAATATTCCTAAAGCTTAATTAATAAGAAAATAATTTAAATCATAATTAAAATTATATTAGGAAAATAATATCCTGATTGATAACTTATCTAGAAATATAAATATAATATAGATCTTCTTAAGAAATCAAGCAACCTGAAAATCCTAGTGATACGCATTACTTGTTTTCCTAGCGCCATAATTTATGCTTATGCATGATTTTCCATATTTTCAAGCCCAATTTTCTGATTTTGAAATTTCCCTCTTTTTCAAATTTCCTTCGTAGGAATAAACACATAATTTGTCCTACATCAGTTCAGAACTTCCATTGTCCTTGCTTTAGTAGCTTGGAGGTAATCTAAAGACTTTCTCAGTTTGCAGCCACCACTGGCGACAATGGAGGCCGATGTGGTTAGTTACACTTGTCTCACTGGCGGAACGATGAGAACGATGAGCCATGGAGCTTGATATCCCGGCCATTAAGAGGTTGTAGTGGTCTTGCATTCATCATTGCATACTGAACTCAAGGTAATCAACAGAAAAAGTTATTATATGCTCAAAAATGGATATTTTGATATGCTTTTTGGTGGACATTATCATTTCAAAGAATCTGTTGCACAAGAATCACTTCACAAAGACAAGTTTTACTTACATCGAAAACGACTTGTTGAAGAAGCTTCACTTGTGACTTTGAAACAGAAAGTACCTGAGGACAGTTTATAATTAGCTTCTCATTTTTGGCTACTGAAATGTGAAATTACAGGAGCAGGAAAAATTTTCAGGGCTGATGAAGTTGGTTGTACCTGTTTGTTTATGGTCCAAGTAACTCCTTCAGTGCAAGGAGGGGTTGTGAGTGAGCCCATGTATCTGTAAAATTTCGAGCTAGCCTTTCTCATCTTCCTCTTTTTCACGTCTTGAAACCCCGTCTGAGCCGCCTTCATCTTCCTCGGATCAATCACTCCCAGTTGTACATCCCTTCCTGCATCAGTCATAGATGCTATCTCCTTTGTCACCTGAAAGTTGGAACAACACCATTGATCTCCTATATTCCTCTTCTCTAATTTAACTGAAACGAGTTTTTAGCGCATAAATTTTGAAGGATTTTACCTCAGAGAGAAACGGATTGGGTTTGCCAATTTTGTAGAGGAATCCAACCACAGCGACATTGTTGTTCTTGGCTCTGTGAACCATGTGCAACTCCAAATCATACCTTCTGCCATTAATGGAATGCTCAGAGGGTGAGTGCCAATGGCATTGTCTGAGGATGTAATCTGTGCCATTGATACTAATTGATCCAGCATCACCTTCCCACGCAATCTGCATCAAATTACAACACAAGCAGTAAAAATTCATGTCTTAATTTGTACATAAACAAGTATTAAAGCAGAGTTTTTCACTTTCTTACCGCAATAACAGGACCTTCGTTCTCGATCATGGCTTTGGCAGGCTTATAACTGACTTTAAAATGCTCTAAACTTGAGTTTACTTTGGTGGCAATCCCATCCCTTAAATCTATTGGTGATTGTGATTTTCCATCCTTGCATGTTTTCCATTCTTTCTTAAGCTCTCCCCAGTGCCCTGGCCCTTTCTTGCTCCCTGCCTTATATTCAAATTCTATTGCATTCTCTGCACACAAAAACCCCAAACTCAATAAATTATGATGAAGAAGAATAAGAGAAGAATGTAAGTTCATATATGTATGTATGTATTTGACATTACCAGCATGTTCAGCTCTAAGGGGTGTCGGGTTCCAGCACAGAAGAAAAAATGTAGCAATAAGTAACCCAAGATGGATTCGCTTTGATCCAGCCATCTTTCACAGCCAACAACACTTGAGTTTCAAATTGCTACCACCCAAAAGCCTTCTCCTGTTGAGGTTTATATAGCAATGTTCAATTCCAGTTACAGAATTTGAATGTGGAAACAAATCACAGCTTCTCCACTTTTAAGCAATTATATAATTTACCTTTCTTGGCATTGCAATTTTACTTTGTTAATGGAAATTTAAGAAGTTGTATTAACTCCTTGATTTATGTAAGCTCTCCCTCTTACACTAGTATTGAAGATTTTTCTGTCTACATATACAAGAGTTACTATGTATAGAAAATAAGAAGTTTTGGTGCAGTTTTTTCTTGTAGTGATTAAGCAAGCATATCCTCATAATTAGCCCTAGATTTTGGGGGATTTATACACTTTTCTAGAACGTCTTGGTACAGAGAACTAAAAATAAAAATTAAGACAAATGACTTGGTAATTTTTTTTGTTTTGCTGTGACTAAAAACTAACGCTGACATCCACGCAAACATGTCTACAGCAGAATTAGTTTCACGAAAAATATGTTGTAAGTTCACCTTAAGGAACTAACCAAATCAAACAGAACATGTAGTTAACCAACCAAATTAATGGAATTGAGATGTGTGCTTTCTGATCTACCATAAAACAAGTCCATTTTACCAACGGATAGTTTTAGTACATTTTTCATAAATTGTGAAGAACATATAGAATCTTCCAGGCTTGTATGCATGTAATTTATTATTATCATGGACATCACATTGTTCGCAAGAAATATAAAACGAGTAATTATACCATGTGATCATACTATCGTACTATTCTTTAATTTCTCAAATAGAACAATGCAAACTCACAATTGATAGATACAACAAATTCATGCCACAATTTCTCGTAAATTTCATAAATTCAACAAACTAACACAGGAATTACAAGGCTACGCTTATATAGCGCGCAAACCTTACTATTAAAAAAAGTAGAAAAGAGAAAACAATAAGGAAAATAATACAATATATCTTCTTTCTAATTATCAAATAAAAAAATCAGTAATTTAGAGAAGATATGCGAAGATACACACTGTTATGTGCGTAAATAATCTGAGAGATTGCTTAGGGCTTTGGTTACCCTCTGGGTGGCTTGGTTTTGGTGCATTATTTGAGCCAGATTCCTTGGGGCTTTGTGCACTAACTGCCCTATATTGCTTGGGGCGGTGGTTGCCCTCATGGGGGCTTGGCGCATCACTTAACGACAGGCCATAGTGCTTGATTTCTCGATCATTGAGAGGTTGTAATGGTCTTGTATTCATCTTTGCATACTGCATTCAAGTTAAGCAACAGTAGAAATTAATTTGGGTGAAAAATTGTTACTTCGATGATAGGTACTGATCGTTTGAAAGACACTACTCTCGTGAGTTTTCACTTTCTTGAAGTAGGTCGTCAATTCAAATCTCATAGACGCCGGTAGATGAATACGAAGAAAACAAAAATCGAGGAATCAATTAACGAAGATAAGGTTACTTACATCATCCACAGCTTCTTGAAGTAACTCCACTTGTTCTCTTGAAACATGTTTTACCTGAGGGCAGTTTATGATAAGCTAAGTCTCCCATAATTTTTTTGGCTAAAAAGGATAGAAGAAATGCTAACTAATTAGGGCTAATGAAGAGGTTTTGTACCCTTTCGTTTATGGTCCAAATAACTCCTTCAGTGCAAGGAGGGGATGTGAGTGATCCAATGTATCTGTAAAAACTGAAGCTAGTCCATTTTATTTCCCTTGGATCAATCACTCCTAAGTGTACCTCCTTTGTAGCAACCTCAGACATTATATCTTTGTTCACCTGAAAATTGTAATAGTTGGAATAACACCATTCATCTCCTATAGTTTCTTTTATACAATTGTGTTAATCTTAAGGCCTTTTAATTACCTTTGAGAGAAAAAGGTTGGGGTTGCCAATGTGGTATAGAAATGCGAGTACAGCAATACTGTTCTTTATTTTCGGGTCGGTGCTTTGATGAACCATGTGCAGTTCCAGATCATACCTAATGAAGAGACTCTTTAGACATTGAAGAAACATTTTGGATTTTTAAGACAAAGGAAATGAGGGAGAGAAAGTGAGACCTTATGCCATTAATGGAATGCTCAGAGGGGGTGTGCCAATGACATTGTTTGAAGAAGTATTCTGTGCCGTTGATTTTGATTGATCCAGCATCACCTTCCCATTCAATCTGCACCAATTGAATACAATACAGAATTAAGACAGAAATGGACAAAGGAAGAAGTTTTCTTATAGCAAAAAGATTACAAAACCAAAGCTCTGTTTGTAACAGTGTGAAAAGCAACACACTAATATTTTTGGTAATAACAAATATAGTGTCAACATACTTAGGACCAATGAACTATGGAATAATTGAAATAAGGTATTGTAAAAAAAAAAATATATATTCAGCATTAATTAACGCCATCATTTAGTCTCAATCTTGGATTCAAATCTCATGAACGATAGTTGTTCAATAAATAAATAAGACCATTATCCACATCTCAACCAAAAGAAAACTCAATCGGATTTTCAATTTCTCACCGCAAGATAGTGACCTTCATTCTTGACAGTTGCATTTGAAGGCTTATAACTCATTTTAAGATCCTCTAAACTTGGGGTCGTTTTGGTGGCATGATCATCCGACAAACCTATTGGTGATTGAAATTTCCCATCCTTACATCGTGCCCATTCTTTCTTAAGCTCTCCCCAGTGTTCTGGTCCCTTCTTACTCCCTTCCTTATAATCAAACTCATGCTCTGCACCAAAAACCCAAATTCAATATAAAATGTGATAATGGTTATATTGCCCTTGATAATGATATCAATCCAAGCATATATATTGCATTACCAGCTTCTTTAGCTCTAATCAGTGTTGGATGCCAGTAGAGAAGAAAAAAAGTAAAAACCAAGAGCTGAAGATGGGCTTGCTTTGATTCAACCATCATTCACAGCTGAAAGAAAGCATTAAGATTATGCAAATGTTAAGACAATGTTGATGAACTGTGAGTGTATGGATAGTGAAATTTATGGAGCTTCCTCAATCACACATGGCAGCAATCACTGTATAAGTAACAGGATCTAGATGTGGAAAGAAATCAGATATCCCTTTACCCTAATGTTATCCCCTTTGTTGGTTTTAAATCCATGTCACCTATATTAGATGCTAATTATAAGTAACATTGCCTTGACTTGTTCACTTGAAATTAAAAGTACTATATATATATAGACATGAGAATTTGCCAACAACCAATTAGCTCAGGCTGGATCCAGAGTCCCAATTTATATTTTTATTTTCTAAGGGACAAAGAAAATAAAATTAAAAAAAGATACACAAAAATTTGCCATTACTTGGTTGTTTTTTTTTTTTTTTTTTTTTTTTTTTTTTTTTTTTTTTTATTTGAACGATTGGATAATAGATTAATCATCATCAAGGTCATCTTCTCCTTCCCTAAGGAAACTCCATAATGACGTGATGCCAGATACTTATATAATATCACTCTTTTAGAAATGGGGTTTGAATGATTTCGATTAGATTAGGTTCAACGGCTAGTCCCATGCGATTTTAGGCCATTGGATGAAAGTTTGATGGAGCTCCTTGAAACAATAATAAGAAAAAAAAATCAAAATAGTTCATGATAGATATTATATTCGTGACATTATTAATTTATATCATATTTGGCAAATTACCCCATATGATTGGGAAGTAAGGATATAGTGTCCTATAGTAGTCCATTTTTAACAATTATTAAGGCATGGTTTTTCTTTTTGATGCATATTAACGTATGAAATTTCGGACAAATTAATACTTTGAATTATCATTTGTGATGCCATTATAAATTAGGAACCCCAACTAGAAACAGATACATTGAAGAACAGAGGAAATTCAAGCATAGACAGTAGCGTGGTTTAAACTAACATAACATGTTTAACGTATCACAGTGATATATGCAGCACATTGAAGTCCACATATGTGTTCCAAATTTTATTTTTACAAATCAGATATAACAAGAGAACAATTTTTTTTAAATTTCTCCATCTTGTTGTGAGCTAATTATATAAGTTAGTGAGTCCACTAGGGTTTCTGGCGAACTCTCTTATATCTTCAATTGTATTTAATAATCTTTGGTTTTTGGAAATACAGGCGGATCATTCGATGATTGAGAGGTTGCAATGGCCTTGCATTCATCTCTGCATACTGCAATTAGTTTAAGAATCACATTAGAAAAAGAAAAAAAATAACGGAACAAAAATCTTTTCTATGTAATCAAAGGCTGGAAGCACAGACAGCCACTTACATCATACACAGACACTCGAAGTAGGTCTATCTGTTCTCTTGAAACTGTCCCAAACTGCATTGAAGCAATTAAAATTTAGGTAAGGAGCTAATAAGATAACGTTCTTGGCCCGCACGCAAGAAATAGAAATTAAAAAAGACTAATTCAATTAAAAAGAAAAGGCCTATAGTTGAAGAGGGTTTACTTGTTTGCTCATGATCCAAATAACGCCTTCAGTGCATGGAGGAATGGTGAGTGAGCCTATGTATCTGTAGTAGTTTTTGCCATCCAATTCTGCTATTTCTGCAGGATCAATCACCCCAACGCTTCTCTCTATCTTTTTATCAGTCAAAGATGCTATATCCCTCGTCAACTGAAAATTCAGAACCAGCAAATGTTAAAGATTATTAGGACGTGTGGGACGTCCTGAGAAGACTTCACTAATTTCTTAGAAATTTTATATTTAAAAATTAAAAATCTAAGCTCTAAATGATGATTCTGCACCCTAAAACAATCAACTGTTAATAAATAATATCAAATTAAGTGGAAGAAAATTGAGTGGAAATGAGGTTTTCACGACGCGTCATGTCTTTAAGAAAGATTAGATGTCTTGTATGGTGTGTATTCTTACACCTATATAGCATGGCATGTGATGTATGCAGTATATTAACGCATATAGTATGAGATTTGACGCATGATAATATTTTGTATTAGTGATAACAAGCAAAAAAACAATTGTCAAAAATTAATACAAATCGGGCTAAGTGGTGTAATGTAGGAGGCTCTTTCACCTTTGAGAGGAAGGCATCAGGGCGACCAATCTGGTAGAGGACTCCAACAACAGCAGTATTGCTTTCCACTTTCGGATCCGAGCTTTGATAAACCATGTGGAGCTCCATATCATACCTAACACAGGAAACTAGATCATGAGACATATCAACAAACAAATTGTATGCGTCACAATTTTGTGGTATTAAGAGAGACAGAGACCTCTTGCCATTAATGGAATGCTCGGAGGGAGAGTGCCAGTGGCTTTGTTTTAAGAAATACTGAATGCCATTGATCTCAATCGATCCGGCGTTCCCTGCCCACTCAAGCTGCATCCACCACATAAGTATGATTATGAACTACCCCTTTGCGTAATTCATATCTCCTAAATATGATTATGAACTTCAGAGTTTCCTTAATTACCTTAATGTCATGGCCTCTATTCTTGAGAGTGGCATTAGAAGGCTTGTAAGTCCTCTTTAGCTCCACTAAGCTTGGGAGTATTTGAAAACTCTTACCTGGCAAATCTATTGGAGATTGCATGCCTCCATGTTTGCATGCTGCCCATTCTTTCTTGATCTCTCCCCAGTAAGCTGGCCCCTTCTTGCTTCCCTCAACATAATCAAAATCTCTCTCATCCTCTGCAGCAATATAATATATATATATATATATGTATGAGCAACTCAATCTAAGAACTGCTAATTAAATGTTAAAGAATAAAAGCATGTATTTTCATTCTGCATACCAACTTCTTGAGCTTTGACGACTGATATTGTCGAATGCGTGAACAGAAGTACAAAAACTAGAAAACAAGAAATGATGAAGATGGGTTTGCTTCGATGCTTCATGTTGATCATTTATCAGATAAAACATGCAAGTCTTTGTGATGCTCTGATCAGTAGGAGTTTTTTATTGGTATATATATAGATAAAAACCACTGCAATTAAATTGAGGACAAAAAAGGGAGAAGCATTGCGATCACAAGTTTTATGGATAGTCTTGGGCGGTAAAACATGAGACGTCTTAAGAATGCCATATAAATTACAAAGGCAATTGTATTGTACACTGCCAGTTTTGATACGTTTTGCATGATTTTGATCAATGAGGAAAAGCCGGTAAAATTTAGACGAACATGAGTTGGGTAGAGTTTGGGTTGATTTTAGGTCTAAATCTCATCACACTTGAGAAGACATGTAAAAGGAAAGTTTCACAATCCAAGGATTTCACTTTGGTTTATATTACTTTAGAAACTCAAAACCCAAAGTAATTGCATCTGTTTATGCCAAACAGAAAATAAAGTAAAATTTGTTTGGACAAAGAAAATAAAGTAAATGCATAATTTGGAAGTTTAACATGGGCTTAGCCAAGTTGGCTAGAGCGGATGTGCTCCCCACTCTACACCCGAGTTTGAATCACCCTCCCATAATTTAGATTAAATTAAAATTAGAATATTATTTGTATTATAATAGATATATACACACACGCTTGAGCTAGCAATACAATGAACCTTCGTGTTCTTCTTAATTTCTCTCATAAATAGGAGAATTTCTAAACAACTAGCCATACCCATACATGCATCTAGAAAATATTCTAAAATCTAAATTATTTCCCAACAATATATCATGCAAAATATATTGATGTATAGGTCAATGAAATGGTTTTTCAGGGTATAAAAAAGCACGACTTGGATGATCCCTTTTATTTTATATACTGTTCAGATTTTGTGTGTTTTCAGGATTATAGCATTTACTTTAGCAGAGAAACTACCCGAAATTGTAAACCAACTTTGCAGATAACCAAGCTAGCTAGCAATGCCAAATAAAAACAAAGAAATTAAAAGCTAGTTTAAATATATACAACTAACACTGAACTCAAGAATCAAAATCAGACAATCAATATAAATAAAGGAAGTCTAAGAGCTTCATATACCCAAGCGTTTATCATAAGAATCAGAATCTCATCCTAAATTCAACCCGAGTTAATTACAAAATTAATTTAACTCTAGTTACAACGAGTGCTATAATGTAATATTGCTAATTATGTATATTGCAGTGACTCTTAACTTTTACTTTGGACTTGCACTTGAATTAGTGAGACTTGCCTACGCATATTTAGTTCGCTTCAATATCTCACATAAATTAGAGTAGTCAAATCAGTTAACATCTTTCTACCAAAAAGAGCTCACCCAATCCAAACAAGCAGTAAAAGTTGTGTTTATACTCTTAGCATATACACAGTTGTATTTTGTTGCAGCAGATCATGCAATGAAAACAGTTCGTTAAGAAGTCAGTTGTTTATTATTTAGGATATAAAAAAGCATGACTTGACTTGAGTGCCTCACACTATTTGTTTTACTTTTGGTTCACATTTGGTGTGTTTTCGAGAATATTTTACAGCCCATACCCGCCCTTAATTTGCGAATAGAAGGCTGCAAATGTAATTTTACAAGTTCTATTTTTAGGATGCGGCTGACACTTCAGAAAACAAAAACGAGCATCTTGGAACTCAAACAAAAAAGCCAAACAAGACGTATTACTTTTTTTTTTTTTTTTTTTTTTTTGTTTTTTTGAAAGAAATTGACATGAACAGAACCTGCTTCAATATGGTCTGAAATCATTACCAGAAAAAAAAAAGGGTCAGAAAGTTGGACATTTTTCAACTTGACCGCTTGAATTTCAAATGCAACTACAATGGCCAAAAAAAAAAAAAAAAAAAAAAAAAAAAAAAAAAAAAATTTCAGAATTTACTTTCATCTAACTGGAAACAAGGTGATGTAGCCTCATTTTCTACCAAAAATAAGGTCCACCCTGAATTCCTCCAGCTGCCAAACATTGGCTTCACAATAAGACCAAAAAAAACAGAGAAAAGGATAGATGAGTTGTACAGCTGGCAATAAAAACAATTCGCATGAGAATAGATGAATGGTCATTTCGGTTGACTAATCATACCGCCTAATATTTAAATGAATGCACCGGATGATTTTTACTTTTAACGATCTTGATTCAATTTGAGCCATGACAAGGTTAATCTCAATTTCTGTAATCATCTTGAGTGCAGACTTAACATAGCCTAAATTACTTGCACTTAATTGATTACATAGGAGATTACAAGTTTGTCAAGAAAAGCTACAACCATTAGCTAAACACAACCTAACAGAGCCCATAATAGAATTCATTTTCTCTCTGTTTTTTTCATTGCCTCTTCACTATTCTCTGATCTTACCACAAACACCCACATGCAATTCTTCTTTTTGAACAACTATATCATTTTGTATTTTTTCCCAAGATTGTTTTTGGATTCACTCTTTTCTTGCACCTCAAGACATTGAAACCAATCGATCCTCTTAGTGAAAATTTTAAGTTAATCAAAAGGAAACTTGGGATATGAATATGAGTATGCAAAGCTGATTAAGCAAGTATATATGGAAGTACAATTTCATATAATTCGGGATGTCTATAGAGTACACTAGGTTTAGTCCAATCTCTCTCAATTTATTCTTCCACATAACTAGTAAAATGATTTTATAATACTATATTTAGTTCACTCCAATATCTTATGTAAATTAAAAAATATTTGAATAAAATAAGAAAATGGTTTTATACCCACCCATACAAGCAAAGATTAAAATCTCAATCTTACCATTACTTATCAATTCCAACAAGCATTATTTATTCTAATATATCATGCAAATGGTTGGTTAATAGGTGAAATTTATTATTTCAGGGTATACAAGCATGAAGGGAGTCATCACACTATTTGTTTCTCCAATTGTTCATATTTTGTGTGTTTTCAAGACTAGCTGAGGAAACTTCACTTTGATTTTTTCAAGAGTTCGAAAATTTTCATAAAACTCTAATGATAATAATACTTGGGATAATTGTTGTTGCTGTCGCTGTTGTTCATACTTATGCTTATTTCTATTATTGTCATTATTAAGCTAGGTGTGAATAATCTTTACACATTTTTTACGTGGGAGACAATAGATAAACAAAATATAAAAAAATTCCGTTAATTTTTTTTCAGAAAAATCTAGGTGATGAGTTTCAAGGTATTTTACATATGTACACAAAAAATTTATATACAAATCGAGTTTCATCCTATTTTTCCTTTCTTTCAATTCAAACCCCACACACAACCGCAAACTTTTATATGATATATTAAAATACAGACACTTAATATAATTCATCAACGCATTATAACATGAGTGAACAACTATAACTACTCCTTATATATATGCACTATGAGCTTCAAAATTTTCCTCTGTGTTGTCTGAGTTGTCCTCTATAGACTACGGTATACTTTTTCTTTGGCTGTCTACCTCATTTTTGAAACCTAAATATTTCTTTATCTTTTAAGGGATATTAGGAAGAAGGGGATCTTTAAGGGCCCAACTATTGGATTGATCATTGATGGGGGGTTGAAGAAGTTGTAGTGCATTTTGAGCAACTTACTAGGAGCGTAGAACTAGCAGTCTCTAGTTTACCATAAAGCCCTTGACTGCTAATCAGCGACTTCAAGTTGAAGCAAGACAACACACACACAGATATATATATATATATATATATATATATATTATACATTTGGGATCTACTTAATCATCTACATCCATAAATCTTCTTTCAGTCAAAGAGGTAGGACCAAACATGTAATAAGAGTCAAAAAGGGCATCAAACGTACGTATTAGTGGGCCGATGAGGATCAGGTACCAGCAAATTCACTACTCCAATGATTTCAACAAGAGAACGTTGTATATGTAGTTATTAACATTATCCAAAAGCAAATTCTTATATATATATATATATATATAAATTGTTTTATGCGGACATTCCGACGTTATTATCGTGTGGACGCTATGTATTTTGTACTACCTCTCCTTGCTTTCCTGTCTGTTTATAATAGCATCTGCATGATAATAACGTGCGGACATTAAAGAATAACTATATATATTTCATATATTTTAAAGTAGTTTTCTTTCTTCTGTTACTATAAATAGCTAGTTAGAGAGTTGCATGGAACTAAAAATGAAAAGCCTAAATTAAGGGATATGATTTGATCAAAGAACGAGAGTTGAGAGATTATATATTGGATTAATTTTTCGAGGTATTATTCTGAATTGGGTGGGTCAAATTTTTCAAAAGCTAGCTCTCATTAAACCCTAGCTAAAAGTTGGTGGGTGTAGGCATGGGGATTAGGATCGATGCATTTTGAAATCCTTTAACTGAATGGGGGCCATGGTTTGCAGTTAAAGTTGTAGAGAGAGGGGGTATTTCTTTTCTCTCTTCCACTTTACATGTTGGAGAGGAAAGGAATATGAATACAGCTCCTTTCTAACATAAATATTCAACAATGGACCACGCATTTGTCTTATTCTTCTGAGAATCTGATGAAGCGTACGAAATGCATCTATCATATTGTAAACGAATCATAAGTAGCAAACTAGCAAAGTGAACGCGGTGCTTTAAATCAAGAAATTGAGCACAACGATTTTGAGCAGTCACTAATCACTACCAGAAAACTTCAGTATCCGCCATTGGTACACCCGTGACCGATACTAAGGTAGGCCATAGGTTTTTCGGTAGTATGTTGGATACGATGAGTTTTACAGAATACGTGTATGTTCCCATTTAAGTGTGTTTTTTTCACGATTTAATTTATAGTTTTATGCAGCTTGGATGACAATTTATTATTTGATATGCACACAACTATCCTCACAAAAGTCCACAACCATGAACGTCTATATGTCTCTATACAACTAATCATCTATCCAAACCAAATTAAAAGGCCCTACACCTATCAATTTCATTGGAACTTTTGACAATGAAAGCATGCAGCAACGCCAAAAGTGTTG